CTCCTTCTTGCTTACAAAAAAAAAAAAGCCTAGGAAATGCTTACTTAATCCCTCCCCATAAATATCCATTAGGACTAACAACTTGTCACTCTTATCGAATCAACGTTGCAAGTGGAACAATCAAACTGTTCAAATTGGCGAACCAAAGCCTCATATTTAAATATAAATTGACAATGAACCACATACGATACGGTACCCGTGATAAAAAACATAAGCATACCACATTAAATAATCAACGATACGTAAAATGCCTTATGTTATAAACCTTCGAAGTTTTGGAACACTTTTCGACGTAAGCAAAAAAAGTAAGAATAGAAAATTGAAAAATTTTGTCACTAATGGCGCAAAGGACAGCAAAAATCCCAAGTGCTGCGTTGGAATTCTCTTGGTTGCCTGCAGAAAAACGATAAGCAACATAGATTTTCAAAGCCAAATCATAGCCATATTAATGAAACCAAACAACGCAGAAGAATAAGCATCCACACGTACAAAAACGACAACTGTAAAAATAATGCGAAAAAAACCAAATAAAGTCCTTTTTCAGATAAGCCCACAGTTTCTTTTACTGCACAGTTTTCGACAATCTTTCGTTACTGTCAACTAACAACTACCAACAAATAGACTCTTTTGGTAGTTTAAACAGCGCTCCGTATTCTTTTCCATCGCTCAACTGCCAGTTTCCTCTCGTCGATTGTCGCCAGTGAGCGACAGCAAAAGCACCAACAGCAACAAAGGTAACAGCTGTGAAGATTATGTGAAAAAAAAAATACATGTAAGTCAACTAAGTTTATAATGTTGTTTGTACAGTGGAATACAAAAAACTTGGCAAAAGAAGTAATGGCAAAAGAAGAAACGAAATCAAATGTTAAGGTAACACATAACCAAGCTTAATGACGATTACAGCAACATCAACAACGATGATGACAACGTTGTTACAAGTTTTTTCGTAATTCTAGCTATTCTAACAGTCCAGTGCTACATCTTTGGCGCTTGAAAGCATCAGCCTAAGATCATATCCAAAGCTGAATAAACAGTTCCCCACACGAAATTCTGGTGCTACAAAAATGTAAAAAAAATATACTGAAAAGAAAAACTGAGTTTCTGGTAACAGACCGAACGAACCATGAACATTCGGTTTTGGGAGATTACATCGTCAAAACAACAACCCGGTGTTGGCACTGATCAATCGATAACAAAAGTAGTGTTTCTCGCATCAGCAAAGCAGAATGGCCGTCCTTTTTTTTTCTTGCATTTGCCTTGAATGCTCAGTGTGTGCCTATGTGTTCTGTTTGCAAAGCGTAACCTCCCTTTCTAATTTTAACCAAAGTCCTTCTTCTTGCTCGTCTCCAGTCTAAATTCGCATCACTATCGCCATGTTCGTCATCACCATAACAGCGAGAAAAAAATTATGGAAATAAATAAATAAATAAAAGAAAACCAATAATACTTCTTAAAATGAGAGGCAGACAAATAGCGGTATTTTCAATAACACCTTTATGACAACGGTACTTCCCTTGGTCCCTTTAAACTGTAACTTTCATTTGAATAAACGAGAAATTTTTAAACAAATGAACTTTCTTTCCTCTCCTCTTCTTTACAATAAAATCGGCTACCATTCAACTAATGAAATAATACATGGGAAAAATTAAATGAAACACCACATTAAAAGAACACACTTAAACACGGATAATCGTCGGTACAACGCAACGCCGAAGATGATCAAGCAAAAATGATTGAATTTCGTTCCTCCTCCCACTCCTCTGCCAACGGAAAAACACTATTCATCCAACTTGTCTCATCCCCTCACCCAAGTGAATTGATTGCTCCAACAACAACTCGAGTAATGTGGGCCATATACTTCAGAAAAAGCTAACAATGATAATAAAAAATAAAAACAGACAGAGTTGGCAGACAGAAAGGAAGCAAGAAAAAAATATGATATGCAAAAACCGAACAGTTAGTTTGTTTTATTTGTCGTACTCAATCACGTTGTGGAAGCCAAAAATGACACACAATCGTTGTCATTTCTTTCCCACTCTATGCCACTATATTACTCCTTTAACTGTACAATAATGTTCCCTTTTCCAAGTAACAAAATCAAACATCACAAGGGACTGAATAAAATTTTATGTGAAAGTACCTAGATAATTTTTATTCCGGCAAAAAAACGTAGGAATATGACAACTAACGTAAAAAAAATGCCCCAAATTCTGTGTAAAAAATACATTATATATGGGTCCAGAATGTGAAGTCAAATATACATAAATATGGATAAATACAAGTGAATACATGTAAATATATAT